GTTTTCTTATTAGTCTCCTTTCACTCAATATTGAAAAACAGAAAGGTTTCTTTCCCCCACTTGTATATACAGGCTTGAATGCCAGAAACTTTACACTGAAGACAGATATAACTTTCTTTTATTGCACATTAAGCTGTACAAGATATTTCACATAAAAGATATACTGCTGTCACACTTCCAGCATTTGCTCACTTTCTTGCAGCTGGGTTGTACAAAAGGCAACAATCATGAAAGAAATTTTTACCAAAAATAACAAAACTGAACATTAAGCCTACACTGTAAAACATCTGTTCCCTGTTACCACAATATTGCACCTAAGCATGCTTACATGCAGAGAGACATTTTGGCTTGCTTCTTGTCTGTAGTATGTAGCAGTAGTGTGTGCCCTTGTAAATCCTTTACAGTCAATAAGCTGAAATCCTCTCTGAAACACTCATCTCTTCTTTGCACACACAGCTCACAAATGTCGTGTGAAAAGCACTTGTGAATACTTGTACTACTACATGCAAAAAAATACCAGCTGCTTTAAATAAAATCAATCATCAGATTCATTTCTTCACCCCAGGGCAGTATGGTTTATTCTCTTTTATGGTGTCTGGAGGTAAGGATCTGTGAACCTGACTTTATGTGGAATTTTCTTAATATACAACAGAATAGTCAATGCCATCATGGGAATGATCACTGACCCAGACAAGTGCCGATCACTAAAGCAAAATATTCATGTAAATTACCAATAGGTAGTAAACACTACACACACTGAAATAGCTAATAATGCATACCTTAGTTCTCATCTTACCAGATTGTACAAAGAAAAGAAATGCTAAGAATGATGATTTTCACTGATAATTTTTTTTCCCAGTGTTTGCAGGAAAAACAGAAGAACATAAAGCTGTTTTCCCTTTAAACAATTGTTCACACTAAACTAACAGCTGCTCATCTTTGTATGTCTTCTAATTTCGAATTAGAGCTCCGTGGCTCATTCACAACAAAGTTTTATGGTATGCTAGCATTGTGCAGCTTGTGACTCTTGGCTAGAGTCCTCGCAGCAGATAACTGCCCACTTGTGTATTTCTTGTAATACTACACTATAAGTGGGTTTGAAAAAATCATAAATAATTTACCTACAGAAAATCTAACAGTTTTAGGCATCTCAAGTCTTGTTGCACATTTGATTTTAAACAATTGTTTTAAACCCTGTTGACGTGGATAACACTGGCACTAAATTATCTTTATAGCTATCTTGAGATTTCTAGGTTTATAATCATAGACCTGAGTTGGTGAAGAAAACCACCAATATTTTTGTCTTGCAAGATCTCTAGCTGGTTAAAGGTACTTTGGTCTACAATATCCATTTTTAGGAAAAAAAATGAGCTCTTACAGGAAGTTTAACAGTCCTTGAGGTACTTCTCACCAAATAACCTGGGATTTAACTCTTAGGTGAGCATAAGATTTTTAAAATATTTGCATTAATTTTTTACTTAAAAATCTCCCTAGATATTTCTAATTTAGAACTACAACGAAAGGTACTACTTAACTGAAATAAGATACATTAAATACTCACACTTTCACTGAGATATTGCACATAGGTGGCCCATTTACATAGCTTTGTAGCTAATAATTTAATGCAGAATTACTAAAAATATGAATACCAGTATGTAAAATAGAAGATATTTTAAATATTCCTTGGGAAGAACTGTATCGCGCTTATCGAGTCTCTGAAATATTAGACTTCTGCTTGCATATAAGTAAAACTCAAATGTTAACAAACTTTATAAAATCATAAATAAAAAGCCTCACTAGCAAATTCTAACCTAGGCTGTAAAAAATACTTCTGGATCACCTACCTATTAGTCATGCACACACGCACGCACACACAAAGGCAATGAGCATAGTGTGCACACTCACAGAGTAAGCAAAGTATTTAGATTTGAACCTCGGTGGTATTTCACTGACAGATATATAATACTTAAGAAATACTGTCTAACCATCCATACAGTTGCACTGGGCTCTAAAGAGGCACATTCTTTGTACACTGTTGACAACAGCCCTGAAATCACAAGTTTTACAGAGAAAGGTAGGTAAGCGTTACACGCACAGACATGAACAAGTAAACAACCAGACGGTATAGTTGACACTGCATAGAAAAAACACAGTCCAGGTCAGCACTGAACAATGCAAAATTGAACAAAACTGGTATGTTTGCTTTAAAGATTGCGTTTTTGTTTCTTTTTCTTTTTTTTTAACTTTCATTTTTGTTTTAGCTCTTGCTTTTAGTCTCGGTTATCTAAGTAGCCTGGACTTGTTTTGGTCCTACTGCAACGCCATTACAGTCGAGAATGTACTGTAAACAACCTTGAGGTGGTGGTCGCTGAGGTGGGATTTTGTTTGGCTCTGGCTCCTTTAGTGATCCACTCTGGAAAACATATTTGAAAACAGAAGAGGAGAAGATTAGAGCAGTTTAGTTCCAGTTTTCCACTAATTTGCCTTTACTTTCATCTCTTTATTGGCTGGGGACTGAACATACAATTTTAATTTATTCTAGAAAACATTCTCAACTTTATTTGGTGCTTGCCATGACAGAGAAATCCTAGACTAATCCAAAACTGAGTTTAAAAAACACAGAATCAAACAACAACTTGTTTTCCCCTTGCAGCATGTGATCAGTTTCCCCCTGCAGCCAGGTGCCCCTAGCGCCTTCTCAGACCTTACCGCTATTTGCGTACGCTCTTCCTTCTTCAGTTCCCAGCACCTTGAACCACTTTTCTGTATCTCATCACTCTGCAGTCTTTTTTAGAGTACAGTGAATAGAACTTCAACAGATACCTTTGTGTGATTCAAGAAATAATGTATTTTTATAACATTTTTTTCTGGAAGCAGTAGCACAGCAGTGGTAATTTCACTTTGATTCTCTGACTGTAAATGGGAAGAGAGATGTGCTACTCTAGGCTAACTAGTTTGCTAAGCAAAATGAAAGAAGGAAGCAAAAACCACAGACAAATAATGAAAATAATTAAAATTACTTCATGTTACTCCATCTGACATGTTATTAGAAATACATGTAATAATACTTACATTTTCAAAAGGGTGGATTTATTCAGCAGTATCATTTTTGAATATATACTTGTTCAGAGGAAAAGTGGGCCTGAACCAAAATCTTGGAGCAGAAAACCCTTTGGGAATGTTAGCACTTGAATCCAAGCTTCATCTTGGACTCATTTCTTATATTTAAAAAAATGAAGTATGTCAAAAAATTGGACACAATATCTTGGTTGGGGTGGTTGTTTTTTTTTTTTTTGGGGGGGGGGGGGGTTGGGGGGGTTTAGGATTCAGAAACTAAACTGCCATCTATTACGAGGAAAAACCCAGGATATATTCAATAGTAAATGTAAAATTAATATAACAGTTTTTGCCAAACTTATTTTTTTTTCTGATAGTTTTGTATGTGATCTCAGAACTGCAGAAATAAATGTTACTCAAACGATCCAAATTCCAGCACAGTAATCTAGAAATTGTGCTTTCTAAATGCCACATTGACACTCTGTTGTGTGCAGCTGTTCCAAATTGCTTTGCCTGCTTTAGCTGCATAATGAAAGGACATGAGGTCCAAAACCAAGTTTTGTGAGTTACCAACCTTCAGAAGACCAACTGAGGTGTAAAAATGACTCACACAAAAGGAATGAGGCAAAATCTGATCCCCGTGTTAACGGATCCATACTGATCCATGCACAGCTCTCAGTGAACATCGCTGTAGGGATGAGGATACAGTGCCACCAGATAATTTTAAAATGCTTTCGTGTGACTTAAAGTCTTCCCTGTTTTATTTCTCTTTTTCTTCTAGACTTCTGAACCACACGATAAAGTTGAATTTCTATCCTATTCCTGTTTCAATGACGCAGTAAGCATTTGTGGTATCCACTTTATATAATTTTCATCACAGGATCTTGCTGAAAAAAAATATATATACATCAGTAACCCCTTGGATACTGAGCAAATTAGCACAGAGAATGGAAGCCTTGAAAAGCTGCCCTAGAGGAGCTAACTCCTTTCATATTCTACTACCATTGTTCTGATGCACCTGGCACCTTCCTCTACACACCCGCAGGGCATTTGGGCGTTCTGCATTACAGAGAGCTTCTGTTTCCTTTGGTGTTGAAGTACGACACGTGGAGTGTGCCCTTAAAGGGAAAGTGGGAGTACTTGGCTTTCAGGACGGTCAGAAGCTTTCTGGAGGACGGAGCTGACCACATGACTCAGTTGAAAAGCATGCATAGCGTCTCGTAAAGAATATTACTACTCTTAGCATGTGATAGACTTACTAGTCCTGCGAAAGGCCATCAAATACTGAGGAGCTCTGTGCGGGGACAAGGACCAAAGACAATGTGCACGTTGCTGTTTTTCTACTGAAAGATTACATAGGGAAAACTCATATTTTATTTAGAAACTGAAAATAAGCTGACGCTTTAAATTCACACCACTTAAATATTAAAACAACATCTGTAGGGCCCCCGTTTCCTCTGTGCCTTGAGGCTGAAGCAAGTCTGCCATTTGTTCTTGCACTGAAATGGTCTCAGGTTTTATTGCACACGCTATTTAACTGACTTGACAACATCAGTACTTATGCAATCCACATATCTTTCTATCTCACCAAGAAATTATTTTATCCTAAATTAGGCTTTCAATAAACCTTATAGAAGCTTGCAAATCCTCACCTCAACTGTTCTGGAAGTTTAAAGCCTTTGTGCATTTTCTGTTGGAGATGTATTTTCCCCACTCCAGTCATTGACTGCAGCTGTCTTGATTTTACCACCCACACATCCTTTTTTTCACCAGATATCACCTGGTGCTTCCAGGAACCTCACCCACACTCCAGGCCAATCACACGGGTATATTACTTTGCTAATTAGCCAACCCACCCAGGCTGACCCAAAAAGACTAATTAGCACTACATTCCTATTTGAGAAATCTTACTCATGGTTTTTCAATGGTCTGTAGTAATCCAGTCTTTTTCAAGAGGGTTTTTTTGGGTTGTTTTTTTTTTTTTTTTTCTTTTTCCCCGAGACAGTCAGAAGCCTTGATACTTGATATTAAACACAGGCTTTGAACCACTCTTGTTTGCTGCCCTGAGCCAAGGTCTTTAATAAAATCCAGGCTTCTTCTAAAACACCACTTGTTGGCAAATTGACTGCAGTCTGTTACTCCTCACCTCTCCAGCATGGTGTGCCAATGTAATTGTAAGAGCTGCTAACTCCATGTACGCGGCACAGCCTCTCTGAACAGCGATGCTGGACTAGACCTGTCCTGCAGATGTTTTCACCCCTCCTGTTCTTTTTTTCTTTTATTTCCTTTGTTGCCCAGCCTAGAAGATCACCCTCCTACCAGTTTCTTTCAGTACAAACATGTTTTCATGCACTGCAGTTCTCATCTACAAACTTGCTGACTGCTTAATTCAAACACTGCAAGAATGAAGGATTAGAATGTGGACTATATAATGGAAAATGGCCCTGAACAGATTCTTATTTGTATGCTCAAGGCTTGCCAGTTAGTAGTACCATACTGTATGGCAATTACTAGTGCAGAGAATGGGAAATGACAGCATTCAGCATGGAATTTTAAGCCATGCTGAATGGTTTATACTAAGTGAGGTGTGGTAAATGCTGTGGAAGAAGCCCTTGTTGCTTTCATTTCAGGAATGCAGCTTTTATATCACATCAAAATTCCCAAAAGAGAGGATTGCTGATATTGATAGTAACATTCTCTGGCTATGGTTACAAAATCTCTCCTTTTCAAAGGGAATTTATTGTTTACGTAACTATTAGAAAAACTATAACTCTACTTGTGGAAGCAGAAAGTCCCACGAATACTTTAGGAATGCAGTAGTGACTTCTCAGATCTGAGTATAAAAATCAATGCTTTGGCTGCATAATGGTCTTTAGAATATTGGCTAAGTTCATTACAGCCAGAGCAGAAACCCAGCTACTTGTGTAAAATATAAGTGCCCATAGATGTCTCTGTAGCCCTTCTTCTTTTCCATACTCACCTGAAGCAATATGCTTAGAATTCTTTAGGTAAAACTGGTGTAGAACAGTGTTCTTAAAGCATGCCGTATTACAGTTTGATCAGTCATGCTACTTGTTTTTCTATCTGTTTATGTAAATGCAGATTAGATTCATATATATTTGAATTTTGAATAATCAGAAGAATGCTGAAAGGGTGGAAGCAAAAGCAGCAACTTGGCAGTAAAATAGCCCATAGGCAAGAGAGATCTTAAACTGAGTCCCAGCTAAAACTGATATTGATTTGGCTGTGTTTGAAGCTTTTGTGAACCAAAGTTGGAGCATGCATTGTTGTTTTTGGGTTTCATTTGGTTTTCTTTGTAATGCAATGATAGAAGCTTCTCATAGGTATTTCAATATTTGAAAAGAAAGCCATATTTTTCAGATCAAGAAATAGTAGGATCAATTAAGAATTGCCAAAGTACAATCTGAGATTGATTGCATAAAGGAAGAAATGTGATTGCAAAGCAGAGGGGTAATTTGGATCATTTAAGCAGGATGTCAATAGAAAATGATTGCATTAAAAGTCTCCTAGATACAAATACTTACTTAGTCCTTACAATGGAAGAACATCACCCCTGGTAAAGAAAGATGAATATAAGCTCATCAGATGTAGAAAGGCACTGTTAAACTGAGCAGGCAGATGGAAGAGTGTGTAGCTAGAGCATTTGGAAGAACTCAGCTAGCTTAATTCAGCCAAAGAGGCTTGAAGGCAGTACAGTTCTTTTTACAGCACTGTAATGGCAAAGCACTAGATAGGGAACAAGCTGCACTAAAGGACAATGTGAACCAAGAAGAAACAGGCATTAGCTGAATAAAACTGGGTTGTAAATAAGCACCTACTGTATTATTTAGCAAAACACTGAGATCTTGAATTGACTTTGTGATATGGAGAATCAAAAAATAAGAAACTCCTTAGCACCTTGTTGCTGTTTTCTACCTTCAGTGTGCAGTGTATGGTAAGGGTACTCACCAGTTGCTAGAACAGACCTTACTCTCTACAGGATGAACGTGGTGTAAGTGACTCATAAATGCTTCCTTGGTAGTAGAGCTTAACATGACAACAAAGCTTTTTGCTATTCATTGTGGACTGAGACAGGCAGTGAAATAGGCCTGATTCTAATCGTAAGACAGGCGTGGTCAGGCACACCTCAGAAAGGAGCCACTTTCACCACCTCGTGCAAAGAGGCCAGTGAAAGGAGAACCCACTCCCACATTTTACAGTTGTTTGGAGTTTCAGTGTTCAGCTTGCCCCAAACATATTCTCAGCAAAACTGATGCCAGCACAAAACATCTTCATTTTGAAGTTGTGATACAGAATTAAAAACTTCAGACCAGCTTTTGTTGTTGCTCAGCCAGCTTTCCGAATTATCAATGAAAGACCTGTAAGATCTTCCTCTGAACGAGAAGGGAAATGACTGCTAAGAGGAGAAAACAAGCTATGCAGCTTAATTTTTACTTGGAACAGTATTTACATCATGCACTGAAAAAGTTTTGGTTTTAAACATCAAAAAGTACTATAGCTTATGTTTTGTATACAAAGTGCTTTCTATTGTTAGATAACTAATTTCTTCCTAGAGAAGAGTTTTCTTCCTGAGTATTTTTACACATACTCTGAAAAAAGAATATCCTAGTGTAGATTCACTGCTATTTAATGGCACACTTCAATATTTTCTCTTAGACAATGAAACAGGTGACATCACATTGCCTATGCCAGATCTATTTTCTATTATTTTGCTGAAAAAAAGAAATATCTCACTACCACAAAACATGACATTTCTATACAAAATGTAGGATGTCGACTTGTCAGAAAAAAAGTGTTTCTTAACAAGTAGCAGCACTTGTTGAAGTTAACTGGTCCCATTCCAGAGACAGATGGTAATTCTAATGGACAAGGATGCAATCTGATTTTATTGCAACTATTGCTTAATGAAGCCAGATTTCAACTTCAGTTTTTGAAAAGGGAACATAAAAAGTATGCTGTTGCAAAGCAGCTGTCAGGCAGTTCTTCCCAGTAAAAAATTGCTCCCCACAGACAAAGAAGGAATGTGGACTATGTGATAGGAGAGAGCTCCCTGTGTGCTAAAGCAGCTGGAACTGAAATGTAATGAGTGTGCATATTTATACCACAGAAAGAGAGCTGTAAGATAGATGGACAGGAAGATGAAAGTGGTACAGCATATCTAGAAGACTATCTAGTTACTGGAAAGTTAATCTTCCTTAAATGTTTCTCAGTGTACATAGATACCTGTAGCTTAGAGCTTGCTAGTGTCAATATCCTGTGCTCTTATTTGAAACTGTAAGGAATGTTCTAAGCTCGGGACCCAGGGATGTTGTCTGATGCTATGCTGTATCAGCTCCTCTGGTCTTCTTAATATGAGATGACAAGTGATCCTTTCATGAACAGGAAGAGTTAAAACCTGGAGTCACAATGATCCATCATTACTGGATCCATTCAGAATTGAAATCTGTGCTTTGAAACAGAAGGTCTGAAAAAAGATGGAGCTAACTCAAGTCTGGTCTTAAAATGAGTAGTTTGTCAGAATATTGTTGTATCAGTGTTACAGAATGGTGGAGCAGGAAAAGGCTTGGGAAAGGACAAGTCAGTGAGCTAAGAGCCATACCCCAGAGAAGACTGAAGTTCAGAACTCAAACAGAACGTAAGACCTGTCTGCCAATGTTGTGTGGGCTTCTTTCCTTGCTTTGTCTGATACAGCACAAGCACAGAGCCACGTGTGGGCATCGCTGGTGACTTGTTGGAATCTGAGAACCTTCTTGAGTCTCTTACAAGTTAGGAGATACTGGAGAACAATCTTTGAACAGGTGAAAAGAAGCTTGAACTACTGGCAACTAGGCAGATGGAGCACTGATCCACCACTAGACGAGTGGTGGAGGAACAGAGAGGTTGCTTGTTTTTTCCCAATTGATCATTCAAGAATATCTGAAAATGAGTTGCACTGTTTTGGATTGTTCTGTAATTTCTCTTGGTAGTTTTTACCCATGTTCAAAACCTGTAATGCTTATTTAGCATGTGATCCTTATTCAGAATAAACTATGGTGATGACTACTGGGTAGATAGATAGAATCCTTGTAAGTTAAATGTGGAATAAAGCCAGATGGCTTTGCCTAACAGGTTATGACTTAAAATTCAGAGAAATCAAATTTAAAAAGTCAAGTGCCAACAGAGAATGATAACACAAAAGTAGAAGGGAAACACCCAGCACAGTGGGGAAAGGAAAGGAGGTGAAGGAAAAACCTCCAAGAAAAGATGATTCTATTAGGTTCAGCTTAAATAAGCAAAATCAGTAGAATCAGTAGAAATAGATGAAAAATATGACAAAATAGAAAAAACATAGAGGTTTTTATATGGTTGTAATTATAGCACTAAGACAAAACAAAGAGATCTAACTTAGACTCTGTATCTGTTTATGTGGCAACACTTACGTGTTCCATAGTGATAGGATCATTCCTCGTTTTAATTTTGAAAGACTGAGTTTTGCTACATAACAGATTGAAGACATCTTCTTGAAGACTCCCAAAAATGTGAGAAATGGAAGCTGTTTCTCAGAAAGATCTACTGAGAACATATACTCTACATCGGAATGCTCTTGATTACTTAAGAATTAAGTACATTTTCTTTGTTCTTGAGGTGAGTCACCATGGAGTCTCAGAATTCTTGAAGACATTGTCTGCTTCTGTCAACATAATGGGCAGATTGGAAGACAGATGGTCAGAAAGTTAAGAAAAGCATTATTTTGTTGTTCAGTTTTGACCAAAATCATTATTAATATGTTTTTAAAAGTTATTAACTAGCAGTACTTCTAATATGCGTTGTTTTTTTTTCTTTTCCCAGTTTTATCTAGCATTTTGTTGCTTTATGTATTATAAAAATTACTAGCAGTAAGGCTGTTGCCTTACTTACCTGTCCTACAAACAATAAGTTATTCTGATCATCCCGGTCCTGATGCTGGAGTCTGTCACATTGCTTATGGGATCTTTCCCTTTGTTTTTCTCTTCTATGAAATATTTTGGGAGCTCTTTCTGTTATCAAGCTTTACTCAGCTTATCTGCAGGGAGATCATGCATGTATTCTTCCCAGACACTCCACTGACAACAAACATTCAGTACAGTCAGAACGAAAAGCAATAATAATAATACTCATTAAAAAAAACACAAAATCTAGAGACAAACAAACAAAAACACAATCCACAAAACCAAGGCAACATCCTGAAAACTTCCATTTTCACTAATTTCTATTGATGTCAGTAAAAATTGTAACCAAATAATCCTAACCTTCTAATATGTGCCTTCTAGTGTCTTTTATTACTGAAGTTTCCCTTTAAAAAGCACATTATAAAGGCATGCTTGTTTAGTTGTGGCACACTAATTCAAAACAAGCTAGGAAAGATGAGCACTTACTGGTATTTTGATTTAATCATCTTCATTTAATTGATACATTTCCAGCTAGCCACCAAAACCAACCGTGTAGACATCACTACTAGAAGAACTGAGCAATATGTACTTACCTCTGTAGTGATTACTCCACCTACTGGTACAGGATCTTAATAAACATTTTTAAATAGGTTATTTTAAACTTTACAGTATTTTTCAATGAAATCTCTGTTCAGTATCTGTGCATTGTGTCCTACTGCTGTCAAAGAGCCTCAGATTTATTTTCCTGCATGATCTTCACTTTTAGTATCTCGCTCTCTGAATGTCAAGCTTAAATCAAACCATAAATGAAACAGTGTTTTCAAAAACTCAGCCAGAACTCTTATAAAGTACCCTTAATCCATCAGTTCAGTCTGTTGCAATCCCTATCACTTCTGTAAAGAACAAAGGATCTGCCTTGAATAGATGTCATAATGAAAGATGGACAAAATTGGTGTAATAAAATATATGCTGTCATTATTTATGTGTGATAATTAAACCTGGCTGTTGTAAACACAGGTGGAATGAAGCGTGCCTTCCTCATGCCTATTAACAAGAAGCACTCAACTCTTGTTAAGTCCATTACAATTCTATTTTCTTCTGTTTTTCTTAATCCCATGCATTAGGATCTAAAATCATTAGGATCTGAAATCATAACAACTGCTTTTCTTGTATTTTCACAAAGGTAAAATAACTAAATGTTAAAAAAGCCCCTTTGATTAAAATAATCTTCTCTTGTTCAAGTACACAAAGCTGAATATTGCACATATATATATGTACAATTAGATATATTGACATACTAAGTAAGCACATACTTTCTGTATTAAAAATAATGAAATTAAATGGTGCAAATGCATGATAATAGAGGTGTCAGAAATTGCAGGAGAGAGAGCATTTCGCGTGGGTAAAATGTACCCAACTTGTTGCTCAGGGTGGTGCAGCTCCTGCGGTGTGCTGCAGTGCTCTGCCGTGCTGGAGGCAGCTCAGGACATCGGCTGCCACAAAGACGAGGCCACGAGGTGTCGCTGGGACTCAAGGAAGCAGAACGCAGCGCAGTGAGCAGAGCGAACCCGCAGCTTAACAGAGAACTTGCAAACATTGTTTACTTTACAATTGAAAGAATGCCTTTATGACTTACATGACCTTAAACGTATTTTTTAGCGTTCTGTTGTGGATAAATGGCTCAGCAATATTCTTAATGAGTCTCGATAACAGTCTTAGATTTTCTGACTATTTGGGCATCTTGCTGCTGCCTGACTGCTTTTCCACTGAGTCACAACAGTAAGTCTATAAACATCTTAACGTAACAAGCAGTTTGCTTCCTAGGAACTATGGTTTAAAAGGACTTCTAGGCAGATGCAGAGAACAAGTAGTACAGAGTAAGTAATAGGATTTCGTTTGTAGTCACTGATGGCTGTCAAAGTGTAAAGAAACTTTCTGAGGTACCCACACGCCATAAAAAGAGCTCATTGTACACTAATGTAGACCACAGAAGATACTCAGTTACCAGCTGCACAGATATGCTCTCTGTTTATTGGCTAGGTATACTGCTTTGTTCATACAGAGTCAGTGATGTCATGGTTTGGAGATACAAATAATTGAAGAGGCATATAGTAATAGCATGGAATCTCCGTGCTGCCTTGCCATAAGCAAGGAGAAAGTCAGGCTAATCTCTTGAGTATGTTTACGATCTGGATTTCTTTCGGATACTACTCCACAAATCCATGTGTGTCTCTTTATGAACAGATGATATGGCTGCCATTTATCTCCTACTTAAATGTCTACCAAAGAAATACAGCACATATAGTTTTAGGGTTCATCAGCTAATTTAGTGACATGCTTAAGGCAAGCAGTTCTCTTGTTGTCTGTTATTGTAGATTTAATTACAACAGGGAATGATTTGCTTTGCATCAGTTCAGTAGGATTTTCATGTATTAGTACTCAAACTCTATGTTTACCCTCATTCATATAGAAGGCAGTCTTTCCTTTCCCAAATGTGTATGAAAAGAGTATTGCAATAAGTGGAGAGGGACTGTGACAGCAAGTTCTTGGAGGTGGTGCTGATTGGTGGTATGAAGATAATGTGAGTAGCATTAGCAGCTGATGGATGACACAAAGCTCTAGCAGGCCTAATCTTGGCCCAGATGCTCTTCAACTAATCAACTGTTACACTGCAGGTGAGCTTCTGTGAGACTGCAAAGCAGAGCATCATTCAGAAATGAGATCCATGACTGGACTTCAGCGCAGAAAAAATTACTTTTCGTAACAAGCAGATGAATACTGACTAATAGATTTCCATAAAACTCCATGATGGATTACAGGGATCCTTCCCAGTCGCGTGTATTCCCTTCAGTTAAGATCAAATCAAGTAACTCTGTTGTCTACCTCGCATAAAAGCTTCAGTGGTTAAAAAATGCTGCTCATCACAAGGAGTTTGCTTTGAAATGAAGAAATAGCAAATACAACAGATGGAATGGAATAGAACTGTAACCACTATTATGGAAGCACAAGAATAGGTAACTTGATAAGTTTGCTTTTCTCTCTGGAGCTAATACTTTTTATCCACTCTGTGTTCACATTTGGTTCAATTTGCTCTCTCAGTGTAGTAAAATAAACAGGAGAGAACTGTTTGGCTGCAGTCAAATCACATGGGGGCGCAGGGAGTGAAGAACAAATAAGATAAAGACAAAAATTAGAAAAAATCAACCATATGTCTGTGTAGCAGAAGAGGGGTAAGGAGGAGCTCATTGACACTGTACTGAACTGAAAGTAATTGCACTGAACTTCCCTCTGGGTAGAAAGTAAAGAAAGTATGAAAATGTTTTAAAATAGAATGTTATGAAAGGAAATACACCAAGTTCTGCTGTTCTGGTCTCAAAACAATTAAAGCACCATCCTCCACTTCTGCATTATTTATTTACATTTTGCTGGTGTGCTACTTCTTTCTCTTAAATAGAAAGTAACCACGATACTGGGGAATGCTCCGCTCTTTGAGATTTTATGTGGTTATGGATATTGTGCCTCTGGTGCATGCATCTCTTCCTTCCATTAGGGATATAAACTTCCTTGTTCTGTGGCTGATAATGCAGCGTGATCTCAACAGAGCTGTTGAGATTTTCTTAATATGATTTTCCTTATTTTCAACTGCTAATATCACTGTAATCATTTGAATTTTATGGCAATATTATTGCATAATGTAATATTTTACAAAGAATTTGCTTAATCACTACAGGTATCATGATTTGATACGCAGCTTTGAATGTGTTTTACTAATATTGCTTTATATATAAATGTTGCTACAGAAGCACTCATAAAATAGCCTCTACTGAGCAGCCGCCTGTAGTTTTGCAAATCCACACAGCAGAACTTTCAGCAGTGATCCTTCCTGTCAAAAGATGGAGACAGAGTTAAGCGATTCCTCTACCTGGAGCATTTCACTGGGTACTTTTATGTACTGTTTTGTATTTTAAGGAAGGATTTGAGAGAGGCTTCTTAGAAGAGTTTTCAAAAGTTAGAAGGGGCTGCAAAAGGAGGAAATTTGGATTTCCATTTATTGCCTACAAGTAGAACACCTGGATTTTGGTTCATTTCATGGAAAAAATCCACAGAAATCACATTCCTAGATATATTTCTACTGAACGTTTTCATCATGGCTGTATGTAAAACAAGCTGTCATTTTTAAAAAATAAATAGAAATGAAGTACGTGTTTGAATTTACAGTTATATAAGGCAGATAAAGCTGTCCAGGGATTCTTGCTTTTCTTTGTAGTGGGAAGACTCGTAAAGTGACTGATAAAAACAAAATGGTAAGTTTTGAGTCCTGTAACTCAAAATGCTCTCTTTCCTGGTATGGTTTGATCATGCTGTCAAAGGTATGCAGAAAGCTGAGACCACAAAAGCATGACAGTTTGTTGGCTGCACAGACAGGGGGGAGAGGAGCAACAGAAAGAACTGTGCACTGGTGCTTTCACCTTCACTGATTATTCCTCTTCTTTTCAGTGTATCTTGTTATAAAAGGTTTATAAACAAATTAGTAAATAAGTTGATATCTCAAACAAGTTTAAGAATCACGGGATCTGCACTTCTGAGTTTTTAACATGAGCAACAGAGTTGTCTGAGGTTCTTATTTTTGGAATTCACTACTGGCACTCTGACAGAAGGAACTTTGCTGGCCTTCAAAACATATTCCAAGGCCAATCACTTCCATCAGGATTTGGCTGCATAGCTCTAAACGAAGACTTGTTTTCCTAATCACTGTTTTCTGATGGATTACTAGTTAATTGGAACAGTACTGACCATGGAGGGCATTTGTAAACTGAAACATTGTTTTCTTGCATGATGAACCCAATGCCACAGATACATCATAAATAATTAAAAACACCCAAACGTAGATAATAGGGGAATTCAAAATATGGCACTTCTATGGCTGTAAACCACTCATTTGACTTTTTGGTATTTGTGTTACTGTAGTCTCTAAAACCACACACTGACACGCACATACTTTATTTGGGATAAATTCCTGGCTTCAGTTTTATATGGACTGCATGAATATGCACTGTCTCTCCTTTCTCTGCAGGTGAATGGGCTTTATTGTTCAAGGATAGAAAATAATGCCCGAGATTAGAAAGGAAGAAATCTGTTCAAAGATGTAAGGGACAGCTTGGTTTAACAGACTAATTGTATTCTTAGGAAAACAACCCAGTTAATAACGAACTGCGCATAAGGAGGTATCTGATTTGAATACTCATGATTGTCTCCCTGAGAAGATTAATGGTGTTTGCAAATGGCATCTTCTATAGGAATTTAGATCCCATTTGCCTGACCTAAGCTGGTGAGTAATGTAAGAAGGAAAATTTTAAGGAAGCAGATTAACTGAGAAATGTAAATAATATTGCAAACGTTCTGAAGGGATGTATCTCTGATTTTGGTCAACTGTAATTTATAAGTAAGGGACATGATAAGGCAGGTAAGATTAATGTTGAATCACATTCTGTTGCCTTTAGTAAAGGCTGAGTTCTTCAGTAACCTAGACTTATCAGTGGAAACAGCAGCTCACCAGCTGATACTATCTTTTGATTCATCCAAGGCTTCTTTGCTTAACAGGAAAAAATTCCTTTTCATGGACATGATGGGTGACAGAAATGACTGAGGAATTTAGAAACTTTCTAAAAATGTTGCCTGTCCTGTTTTCATTCTAGATCTGGTCCTCTGTAGGCAGTTTTAGGTGGAAATTATAAAAACCTGTATTTACATACAACAGGTAACCAGTTTCTTTGTATGATACCAGTAACCACAAACATTTTTCCATCATTGCCTTCTTTGAAATCCAGGGAAGCATGCTTACAAAGGACCTTAGGTTTAGTGATTTAAAGCATCGAAGTCACTGTGAATCTGTCCATTATTGCTACAAATTTTGATTTGTGTTGATAAATCTTTGGGCAGCTCTGGGTTTGACACTTTCCTTCATTTGTACGTATGACTAATTTTACAGTCTCAGAAAAAATTGCATTTGGTGTGAGGTGATTTATTTTCTCCTTTTATTGTCCCTCTTTTTCGGTGCTCTATACAATAAACGTGAGTCATGCTGGATGGAAACGTCTCCATTGTGTGTGGTTCAGCAGTTTGTGCTTAGGTTCGAGTGGCTGTAATATAAATAGAAGCCACACCAATTTTTTATGTGGGATGGTGTATTTTTATAACTTAAAGCATGATGATATATTTGAAGAACAAATTAGTCACCCTACCTCAAGAACTTGTCTGTCTGAGGTATGCCACAAAACTGTTTTCAAACTGTTTACCTGGTATGGAGCCTACTGGCAGTAAAAATAGATTCTCGATTTTGGCTTGGTAATTACTGTAATATAGTTTGGATTACTTTGTTAATTAACTGATCAGCATGGAGCTGCGCTGGTACCAAGCAGCAGTCCTTAATAGTTTATTGTCATGGTTTATTCCTTCAGTATATTAAAAGAAGCACCTGAAAGTTGAAGCTAGTAATGCTGTTCTTGATTAGACCTGCTGCCTAGCCTATGAACTGATAAGAGCTGCTGTTTAGCACTTAGGTGGCCTCTTCATGCTCTTAAAACCTTGTACAAATTAATGACACCCACAGAAATTTTCTGAAGTGTCAATAAAAGAGACTTTGGATTTGTAAGCACAGAAATGGAAATGAGAATAATGACCAAAGTCTGAAGGACAGCTGGTAGCAAAGCAAAGGGCAGAATTCTGTGGTTAACATGCTTTAATTATCAGACTGTATGAAATACAATAGATGAAAATCGTTCCTTTTCAATCTTTGAAACTAGTTTGATAGTATGCTAAGCGTATTTCAGGAGTTTCCTAGATTTGAGAGGCATTTTCCTGAATTGTAGCACATCAAAAGATATAAGTAAGGTCAGAAATGCACATGAGCAAGAATTCTCTTAGCACTCTTACTGATATCCTCAGGGCAAAGACTGTTGTGATATTTAAACTTCTATAACATTTCATGTAGATGAAGCTGAAAAAAAATAATACAAAACCCAGTAATTCACAGAATCCAGAGCTGTCAGTTTACTTGTAGAATCATATCAACAAAACAGTAAAAAAAACCCTGCACTACTCAGTTACATCCATCCATCTCACTCAATCATGACAAATCCAACAGACATATTGAAAAGCTCTTGAATTGCTGTAGCTGAGGGTACATCTGCATAGCTGTCCAGCCAGATTCTTGAAGGAAAACGTTGAGTGTAACATTATAGAAAAAGTTGCTTTATTTTAAAGACAGAGATTTCCTACCTGAGGCTGCTGAGTGGCAGTGGGTCTCTGAGGAGATGGTATAGGAGTTTTGGACAACATTTGGTTCATTTTGCTTACAACTAATTCAGTTATATGTTGCCTGTCTTCGATCTGATGCTCACCGATCAGAGGCATTGCACAGTCCATTACCTGTAAAATAAAATATGGCACCAAAGTAAACTTATTCCACATCTGTGTAGAATATCAGGTCATCTTTAAAAACAAAAGAAAAAGAAACAAAACACAAATGGGATCTGTATAAATGGTACAAGTTATACCAGAATAAAAAACAAAAAAAGCCCAAGTGCAGGATGTGGATCAGCAGAGCAAGAGAACAGCAGTTTTACCACATCATCTCTTTCTAATCTCCAAGCAACATACAGCTGCAGTACAGGACGTGGGCATGCACTCTTTAAGGAACATGATTCTGGTGGGAAGCTCACAGCTATAGCAGATAAGGAATATGAGATTTTTTAGGCTATTCTCTTGACTGCTGGAACTTGTCTGCACTGCTGTCTAAGCTACATTTTTGAGGATTTTTTTTCTCTTAGGTGTTGTCGTGGTTCAGCTCTGATCATCAGCTGAATTAGAACATGGAAATACCAACTAGAACTTCAGCTACCCAGCTCTTTGTTGGATTTCTGCTCTCACAGCAAGGATCCTTATTGAGTAGAGAAAACTTTGTAACAAGACCTTGTTGTTATTGATGGGCTGTTTTGAAAAGCAGCATGGCTGCAATGCAGCCGAAGCAAAAAAACCCAACAACCATCAGAACAAAACATAATAAAACAGAATATCAGACCGACTGATCAAAACGTACTTCTTTCCTTGGTACATGTTACTGGTCAACACAGTGCAGCATTTTCATTCAGCTATTCTAGTGGATAAAACTAACACTGAATTCTGTTTGCTTCAGTGGGCTGTAAGGATCTCTCATTTACTCAGAGGTATTGTTACTTTTACAGGGAACCTATTTTTGATGCACCTCTGTGTGTTTCATGAGAAATAGAAGGATTACAAAGTGACCCTGACTACTATTCACAATGGCAATAGACATTCTTATTTCTGCAATCACAGAGGATTTAATTTGCTTTTGAGAAATTGCAGTCTTTCATTCAATTCAGAAAAAGGTGACAGCGTGTCATCTGCAGCTCTGCATTTTGGTGTATCTCATAGATGTGGATCACAAGTGACCGAAGCCTACAACACAAGCAGTAATATTAGCAATTAATAAATGACTGTAAAGGATAAAGCAGTTGGACTACATTAGTGGTAATATACTTGATGGCTGTTATTTTGTCTGACCCAGTTAGATTGTTTGTACAAACTGAATTGTGTCCATCTAATTTCCAGTGTGTGCCAGATGAAAAATGTCACACAAAATTTCTCACTAGAGTGGACACATCTTGCAGTTGATGCAGAAGTAAGCTGTGCTAGTAAGAGAAAGGATGGCGGTGGATGAAGAAGGAAAGCATCATTAAGAAGGAATCCTTATGGATTTTGCCCAGATCTAGAAGGTGATCTAGATCAGTGAATTATATGGAGGTGTTATAGTACATTCAGCAGTGAATTTCCCTGTGTCTTTGGCTTCTCTTCTCCATTGCAGGTAAATGGAAGAGGACTGAAAAGGTTCAACAAAATCAAGAGACTGCTGGAAGACTTTTTCTGCCACAGGCAATTGGGAGTGCTAATGATCAGAGAAACTTCATAAATGTCACTCACTCCTACCCAGTCTCTAGCAAAAGGACTGGAAAAGGGCTCTGCTGACAGCATGCAGGGCTAGTTTGACTGGAGAAGCTGATTCCCATCTCTTCAGAAAGCTATTCTGATGTAAGTTGGCACATTGAGTTTTTTTCATTAATTACTCAGCTTGTGTTGTTGAAGGGAAGATACTGAAATTTTGTGATAAGACCCAATTATGCAAAATATTCACAAAGTGGAAGAATGCTGTTCTTTGTTGGGCTGTCACAGTGATCAGACTGAAGGGAATAGAGCTGGTGGTTCTGAATTCTATGGGATGAAGAGGTATATATAGTAGGGCCAACAAAACTCTCCTCAACCCACTACCTTACATTGCACACGATCTCTTTATAGTGCTATAGAAATTCTTAGTGATGCTGACAAAGACTTTGTTCCGATAATATTAGCTTGAAGCCCAAAAGTGTTTACATTATTCTTCTGTTTGTTGATTTATGAGAGACACTAACATTGCATACTGGCAATCAAAGTGCTGACAACATTTGTTTTGGGATTTTCAAATCTAGGATGTCTCCTCTAAGCTTTCTCACAGCAAAGAGAATTTGAAATAAACCTAAAGCAAACAAAGAAATAATAGTTGAGATCTAGAGCAAATGTTTCCTAAAGACGAATGAATGTATGAAGAAGAAAGGATTGAGTGAAGAAGCATGAGAGGTGTGAGAAAGGAAACCTCACTTTCTTCAAGATCCACTTACATTAAAAAATATATTTGGAATTACCATGAAAGAAGTTGCCTAAAATAAGATCCTGCCAAAGTATTAGATAGGATGAAGATCCAGAGGACTGGGCTCTGACTCTGAGTTTCTATTTCCAAATACTTCTACAACTGCTTACACATAAGTGTATTTGGGAGTTATTTCCACGCTGTTTACCAGAACACACTGAAAAGTTGTCATTCTTTGGCCAGGGATAAAAGAAGCAGCTTTGAGGTGTTGCTCAAAACTCCGCATCTACATTGGTAATTCATCTAACCTATCTCAGCTCAGCTTTGACAGCTATAAAATAACACGAAGTCTATTCTGTTCAGATTTTGAAGGGATTTTGAATTAATTTTGATTAATACCAGTTGTAAAATACCCTTTGGCTGCTCAGATGGAACAGTTTCATAAGAAAAATTAGTTATTAGACAGCATTGCTTTAAACTTCGCATTAAAGTAGCAAAAGAAAAGAACATAAAGTTTTGAGTATGTTTCAATATACTGGAATGGAAAATTACTGTGCAGATCCTAAACTAAAATAAATGATAAGTTATTGCTGGACTTTTACCTATGACAGATATATGATTTGACAGAAGAATATTAAGAGTTATCATTGTTAGACTGGTAATTTGTGACAGCTGCCAGAAGCAGCATAGATAAATCAGTCTAATTTGGTAGGTTCCTTCAGATTTTTACCCCATGTGTCTTGAAACATGAGTATGAAATTAGAATATCTCTAAACAGAGATAATACATGTCAAGGTTCCAACTCTTAATGTAGTTCAGACATCCCTTGTATTTCCTCTGTGTCCCAGACAAAAGTGTGCTAGTTTTGGTTAATGCCATGGAACTCAGTACCTCAACTTGAGCAGTTTAAGTTCTCACAATGTGTGAAGCTTTCAGACTCACTGGCAATGATCCAAGTTGTTTAATTAGTGAATATGCCCTGCTGGGCTTGACAGAATGGTTGGTAGATAAGCATCAATTTGGTCAGAACTGGTTTGTGGCCGTGCCATTCAGCAATGCTTAGCTGACTTGGATTTAACACTGAAGGGCTTACTATTTGGAAATCTTCAAGCAGATCATTCCTTAGATCCAGAGGAGCCTCTGTTGAACACCTCAGGTATATTTTAAACAAAATCTTAAAAATCTAATTTCTTGAAGATAGTCAGATAGTATTTGTAAGTATAGCCGCCGTGTTCACCTACTGAGGCAGATTCAAATACATATGACATAAAAAAACAGCCATTTGTCCTTGAGAACCTTTTGTCACTGTGACAGGTTTTGATGTTGATTAAAAACCCTTTTGTTAGCTGCTATACTGTTGCTGCTGCTGTGCTTTTATTCTCCTTCCTAGTAAAATAATGAATGAAAGTTATCAGAAATCACTAATGTTTTATACAAGCATATCTTAAGAATTGAAGTATTTTGTGTAACACCAACAGAGTTTTTAAAACTTGTGAATGATTAATAGGAATGTCATGATGGCTCCTCTCCCCTTAGAGGGCTTGGCAAAGTTTAAACGCAGACAGCATCCTGGTTTATAAACAGCCTATTTACACTCTTTACTAGTCCTAAAATATCCTTTAAACACTTTGCCAGGTTTTTTTTCAGTATCTAGTTTAGCTATTTAAAATACTGGAATTTCCCACTATGAAGATTTCATAGAAGAAAGACGTTTGCAATTTATATGGATTAAAGTGTTACTTTTGTAGATGTCAGTAAAAACATAGATCACTATGAACTATCATTACTCAGCTCATACTGCTTTCATCTTTGATTTAAATGCATTTCAGTACCCAATTCTATAGGATGAATTTCTCTTATCACCCATAAAACATATGCTGAAATGCAGTTAACACAACTTTATGATAAACTGTGAGAGACCAACTATATATTAGCAGTAATATGGAAACTACAGCAGGATGATTAAGTCAACAAAATGCTGTGATAAAATAAAACACCTTTCAGTGATATGACCCTTCAGTGAATTTGTGCCTTCTGCTGTTGCTTCTGTGTATAAGGTAAGTATTTGAGATTTTGGCTGCAAAACTGAGACTGGTAAGAAAGAAAAGAGACATGCTGTTTATTTCTGATGACCATCAAAGGAAATGGGATGGGATTAATAAGAGAGCCAGTGCAAATATAAAACACCAGTAATTGCAAAGGACTCACCATTATGAAGCAGAAACTATGCTGCCATTGTCTACACATACTTCTCCAGTACATAAAATATCAACCACCAAAGAATTATGAAAGATCTCTTATCTACAGCTTTATGAAGAAATGGTGCTGGGAAAGATGGAGTTGTAGAGCTAAGAGGAATGGCAAATGTAAAAGACTGTGACATGGTAAGAGAAAAAGTTGTTTGTCAGGATGCTGAGAGGAATAAGAATGAACAGATAGAAGGCTTGCCAGTCAGAAGTGCACAGGGAGTCTGACAGGAGAACAGCGCATGGATTTCACATGGAAAAAGACCTGGGAGTTTCAAGAGAAGCTAAGTGCAGAGGGAGTAGCAATTAATTTCATCAGAAATCAAAGGAATTTTGAAGGTCTATGCTTGAGAGTGTGAGGACTGAGGAAAAAAAAAAAAAACAACAACAAAAAAACAACCCAAAACATTTACTTTGGTCTATGAATAAGAGAAGCTGGATTGTATTGTTGCTATTTTATGAATGTGTTCTTCTTCTGTGTT